CCAATTTTATCACCGATATCTAATTCAGATGCTTTGACAATCCATTTTGTAAAATCCTCTATCATGACATCGTCGAAACTATCATTGTCTGCCATTCTATTCTGAAATATGATATGATATTCTGAAATACAGAATTTAACGCTTTATTTTGAACTACGCGACATAGGGATGAGAACCTTTAAATTGCACTACCAATACCTACTTCGAGCATCAACAGACGATCAGATGCAGAAGAATATGCTGATCCTTTTAGTTGACGTCGTTTCAATGGGACTATGATAACAACCAAAATAACTACCAATGCGGCAATTACACCAATTACTATGCCTGCTATTATTAACTCTTTCGAGGATTCACCTGAAAACAAAATGTATTGTTAGCAAAACACGGCTTTTGAAACGATTTAGTCTGTTATGTTAATTAGACATTAAAATAAATAAGAAAGTTTATCATGTTATTCTACGTAAATGCTATTCTGTGTACACATGTTTTGACTCACCAATCTGAAAAGGAGGGGGAGGAGTACTTCCACAGTCATCGCCCTCCCACCCATCTTTGCAAGTACAATTTCCAGTGACCGGATCACAGATTCCGTTGTTCAGACATTCGCATGTTTCACTGCAATTCCGTCCATACGAACCAACACAGACTGAAATAAATGACGGCATACAGGCGGCTTTACATTTTAATCATGATAGCATATCAATGTTTCGCCGTCACGGGGTATACATATAAAGATATGTGATTCATTTTCCATCTTATGCTCATGAAAAAATAACACAACTGTAGTTATATTTTATCGATATTCTCACCTGTATCACAAGTGTTACCCATAAGTCCTGCAAAACACAGACATCCGCTATCTCGTTCACAAGAAGAGTTAACCGAACATGCGCAGTTCCACTCGCAGACTGGTCCCCACATCCCGGGTGGGCATTCTGAAATTACAAAGCTCGATACTTATATTGGGATTACCTGGACATATAAATGCACAAAACATGAATTATTTGTAAAAATGTATCGATAAATTAATTTAAAACATAGTTACCTTCTGTCTGTAGTTCGTATATTCCAGAATAGATTTGTCCCTGGTCACTAGTGATCTCACACGTGTAATTATCAGTTGTGATCTCTCTGTCGCGGTAGTTCACGTCTGATACAAATGGTATGTGATACAACAAGTCCCTATATTTGTATAGAGAATTAGTCGTGAACAGTCACAAAATAGTAGACGAACGTTTGTAAACATAATGCAAACTGCGTATTTTTTTGTAATAGGGTATGTTATAAAAGTCAATCTTAATATTGTTCATCGCATTTTCTACTCACCCAAACTCGCCTACTTGATTGCCATTATAAAACCATCGTATACTCGATATATTGAAGTGATATGCACCACATGTCAAGGTCAAGCTCGTTGCTTATGTACACGTCTTCTCTCGATGGTTGGATGACTGTTTCAGAAAAATCTAATCAAAAAGGACAATAACATGTTTATATATATACAAATACTTTGAACGTTCTAGTGGTAGTGAGACGTGACGAAAAGAATCATTGGAGCAGACCGGAAATTACGCAAGGCTAGTTATATTCTTTATTCTATCTTTATAAAATAACAGAACGTTAAACAACATATACAGTGTAATAGGATACATACACAATCAGCTGACACACAAGTGATAATAAAATAAATGCGATATTAACTACATGGGGCCGCCATCTTAATTACGGCATGAAACTAAAAATGAGACAAGTTGTGAAACGCGTTTTCAGATTCCTACAAACCAGCAAGAAAAAATACCAATATTTCACAGCCAAATGCTTCGTTGGGGGTAATATTGAGCCAACCGCTAACAAACGTTGGCCGTACTCGTCGTTTGCAAGTGGAAAAATTCCTCACATACGAGCACGCACCTAATTACACGAAGAACATAGAACAGTTACCGGGGTACTGTTGACCGTCGTTGATTGGCTGCTGGGTTGGAATGACAATATTTGGTTTCAAATATCCCAGAGAAGTAAAATTATTAACCGAGAAAAGTAATCAAGCAAGACTATCAAGACTTGCCTGGCTTAACGAAATATGATTTTTTTGTATCTTTAGTAGTATGCTAAAATTAGTGCAATGAATAGTATGACGCCCCCAATCATACCTCATGCACAATCATAAATAAAACAGTGAGTTATGACAAGTTATGATAGTTCTACAAATTCAGAAACATTGGGAATTCCTGACACTGATTGTAAACAATGGTAAAATATACATACGAACCCTGATAGACAAGTAACCTGATCGCAAAAAGAGTTTTGTTGTTCTATTATTATATAAGGTATCAAAAGCAACTAGACTGGTAGCTTTGAAAATATAATTTTTTTACTCCAAATTACACTGTCTTAAGAATATTGACACATTCTCAATTAAATCAAAACTTGTAATTGAACTGTCTTTCAAGACCTAATGGTTATGAGGAAGAATACAAAATCACATTCACAGATTTACAGCAATGCTATTTGTTCAATTTGTCAACTAGCTCGTAAATATGACATTCGTTACTTCTAATCAATATACACCAATATGCTCAATGGAAAACGGTAGATTATATACATTTTTAGTGATGGTTTGAATGAACGGAATAACAACAACAACAAAACAACAATAAAACAAAACAACAACAACAACAACAACCACAACAACAATGATAATAATTAAAAACGTGAATAATACATAATTCATATTACCTCGGTCACATGATAAACCCCTCTATCCGGGGGCACACAAACATGCTCCATTGAAACTGTGGCAAGAAGCACCATTGAGACAGTTACAAGTGTTGTGCATTGCGTACCATACTTACCACGCGGACAAGCTATAGAAAAACATAACAAATCAGGTCAAGTATATGGTGTTTGGATATGCACATATGGTTTGCGTGAATATTTGACCTTTGTACCACATATGTAGTACATTGCTGTGCCACACGATTATGACTCAGTATTCACATGGATTAAAACTATGAACAAAATTTCCAAAATTGTAGTTACATATATATGTTTCGACTAAAAAAACACTGAAAAGCTTAAGTTGTTGATGTTTTGAACATTTTAGAGAGGATTATAACTGACATTACAAGTACGCCATTGCACTTTCTCATATTGGCAAATCAATTGTATTTTAGATTTTTTTCATTTTGTAATGTGATGCTGACGTTGTAACGTTGAAGTGATATGATGAAAATATTCC